CCGCAGGTCTACACTAGGTCCGTGTCCTCGCTGCCTCCGTCCTGCCGCTCGGTGGGAGCCGTGATGACGCTGCTGCCTCGGTGCCGAGCTCCGCCTGCTGGGCCAGCGTTTTCTCTCTTACTTTATGTTCACAGCCGCTCGTGGACTCCCTTGGCGCTGCCGTTCTCTCCTTTCTCTGTCCCGCCTCTTGAGGGACTAGTCCCACACGTTTTGTCATTCCTGCCCATCCCTCAGCCCCAGCCCTGCGTCCGCTCCAGCACCTGACTTGCCGGGAGGCCACCAAGAACTGCGGAGCCACCACACAGCGCCACCGGGCCGCCCCTAGTCTCTTCTGTCTGTCTGCAGCATTCATGCCGTGAGAGGTGTTTTCCCACAGGCTCTTTCTTTGGATCTCCTGGGGCTGTGCTCCTTGGCTTCCTTCTCCTTCCTATGATTTATCCCTGAATCATAGTTTTGACCTGGCTGCGCTGTCTCCTTCTGCGCCTGAAGTCGCCTCCCGCAGCCAGTTTGTCCTCTCAGCACGTCCTTCCTGGGTGGGCCCCGAGGCTGCAGCTTTCTAGGTGGCAGCTGTGCCTCCCCAGTGCCCGTCTTCAGTCCCGGTCCCTTTTCTGAGCTGGGGGACGGGCAGCTCTGCTGGTCGTCCCTCCAGGAGTTAGTGTCTCCCCCAGACATCAAGTCAGCATTCACTCAGTCAGTCAGCAAATACTGAACAAGCACCGACTGCCTATAATACACCGCTCTAGACACTAGAGGGGCAGTGAACACGGACCTCAAGGGCCTGGAGATCAAGTTTGGGTGGAGAAGGTGTTGCCAGAGGGTGTCTGGGGGACCAGGAGGGTTTATTGACGTAAGTTACACTTGAGCTAGGTGTTGGAGTTACACAAGGGGTCTTATGGGAAGGTCAGGGGAAGCAAAATGACCAGAGCCCACTGAAGTGAGAGAGAACAGCCAGCGCGGCTTGGGTGGAGAATGAGTGGAGAACGTGCATGTCTGGCGGTCGTCCCTGTGAGGACCTCGTCCGTCCGAGGCCGAGGCCGGAGGGCTGTCAGGGGGTGGGGTGGCCGCCGACCCCTGCGGGGCCTCTTGTCTGAGCGGGTGGTGTATGTTACAGACATACCCCTAGGCGGGAGGAGGGCGGCGGCAGGATGTGCTCCTGGCCGTGAAAGTTCTAGAGAACTTTCTAGTAGTGTCTATGGAGATGTGTTCCCGGAGCAGCATGCGCTCGGGGGTTCGTGACCGACAGCCTGGCCCTCCTGGCTTCCCCTGTAAACGTGCTGGTCGTGGGCTTAGCTGATCTCAGAGAGGAGTGTGGCGGCCCAGTGCCCAGCGGCTGGGGCGGGGCCGTGTGGAGGCCCCCCAGCACCTCAGTGACGTGGGGACCGGTAAATTGTCCTCTTTTTTAGTGATAGTACTAAAGTTCAAAGTGTGACGTGCTTTCTGAATGAGGACACAGCCGGGTTCTAAACCCAGAACTTTCTGATTCCAGGACATACACTCCTTCCAATCTCACTTAGGATACAGGATTTAAAGTGAGTGGGAAAGAGCCTGTGGGAAGAGTCGCAGGGAGTCGGCGCTCAAGGAGGGACTCCTGAGCTGCATTTTTGCCACACCAGCTCCCGTGTGTTCAGAACTTTTCCAGCCTGTGAGCAGAAGGACAGAAACCATGTGGCCTTCCGGGGCTGGCATGGTGGTCACAGCAAGGCTAAGGAGTGAGGCTAAGAGCTTTCAGGATCGGGGAGAAACCAGAGTTGGGACCAGTCTGGAGACAGGTGTTTGTGGTAAAGGTCTGAAGTGGGGGCGAGGCGTTGTTCCGAGCGTGGCCCCCGGCCTGGGGCTCAGGCAGCATGCCCAGGGCCTTGGCTTACGCAGTTCCCCTCCTAGAGCTAGACCTGCTTGGGAAAGACTGTCTGATGCCCTGGTTTATTTATTCAGCACCTGCTGTAAGCCAGTCAGTTCCGGGCTTACAGTGGTGAGCAGAACCGAATAGGCCCCAGCACTCATGGGTTTGCAGCCCGGTGCAGGGAGGCAGATAGTGAGCCAG